AAATAATTTTTTTTCACACAACCTTGATCAAATAGCCAAAAATATTACAGGATTCCTCTGAAGCACTAGCCATGGCTGCAGCAACATACTTGGTGAAATAGATCAGTGGTCCAATCTGCTTTGACATCTCCTATGTAACTAAAAATAGGAGAAATAGAAGAGAAAATTTGTAGGGCTGGTAGTGGCTTATATTTTTCAGTAATTTATCAAGATTCGAGAGCACAGATTTCCTTTGGGAAATATTAGTTCTTAGGTTTACAAAGTGCCTCAGTTGTAAATACCCATAAAAATGACAATTTGGTAGGTCGTATTTATTCTTAGGCGGGTCAAAGGACATTAGCGTATTCCTACTATATAAATCTGTCAGGTACAGAATTTCTTTATGCTCCCAAATCACAAAAGCGCCTCTTACAGTCAAGGAGAAAATGTCACATTATTGCCAATCAAGGACAACAAGCAAGCATATCGATTTCTACCCAATAACTTTTACCCTGCTCACTAAGTTTTTATCACTGAAACTGGACACATCAACGGATTGGATTTAATATATACATATAGTGCTGATTTATTACAGGAGGAGAAATACAGTCTGGCCTTACATCTAGCTCAATATTTTAACACATTTTATTCCTTGCATTGAAGTTTGCAATGACTTTTTCTACAGATAAAGTGTATAACTTTCAGATATCCCTGGATGTGCAGAAATGTTCAGCTCGCACAGGGACATTGACTGCTATAGGTGTACATGCATCCTGCATTTGGTGGTCTTACAGTCCTGAGTCTTGATTTTAAGACTTTATGTATGCAGAAGTCTGTAGCAGAGGTACTGTTTCAGAGAAGTATAACTAAAGATAAGCTTGGGGATTAGGGATGTGAGATTGGAGGGCATATAGTCACAAAAGGTCAGAGTTGCTTGCTGAGCCTGGTCTGAAGATGTTGATTTTCATCTCGTCTGTGGAGCTGTATATGTAAAGCCTTATGTAAAAGGGCTGTTTACCAGTCACAGATACTGGAATGCAACAGAAGGCTAGCATCGTCCTTCTTGGTCTCTTCTGTTGGTAAAACTTCATAATTTTTGGTCATTTTTTTGTTGATAACTGCAGATCACTGCAGATGATTTGGCCCACTTCACAAATGCGGCATCTTTGAGCTCTCCATATAGAGTGATAGCCATTGCTTATGGTAGAGGTATGATCAATTAATTACTTCTTGGAAGGCAAGCACATCTACAAAACTGAAGGCAATAATCTTCACCACAGAATTACAGAACAGTGGAGGCTGGAAGGAGCATCATCTAGTTCAGCCCCCTGGCTCAAAGCATGGTCAACTAGAAAGGTTGCTTAGGACCTTATCCAGACAGGTTTTGTATATCTGCAAGGATGGAGTTGCCACAACCTCTCTGGGTAACCTGTTCCAGTATTTCAGTGGTCAAGGATAAGCTACTGAGTTAAAACTACAGGCCACGTAAGTCAGCAGGAACAGGTATCTGCTAATTTTGTTATGACAAATGTATGAAACAAGTAGCCTAGAGAGCAGTCAGCTCCCTTGTTGTGAAATGGTAACGTCCTGCTGGGATATTTACCTATCTGGGCAAAGACATCAGTTTTGATTGTTCTTTGGCCCCTTGAGCTGGACAACTCTTCTGTAGAATAAATGGATGTAGAAGCAGCTGATGGTTTTGCTGCTCATGTTCATGATGATGTGGAGAGACCTGGAAAGGCCATACCGTACTCTGCGTTGCTTCCTGATGGAATGAGCAGAGGGACATAAGTTGAATTTCTCCAGACATGTCCTGCCCCAGCCAGACATTTTGTCGAGAGGTTATATTCAAGGATTATGTATGTTTGTCAAGATTTCCAGATGTCTAGTAATCGCAGCCTTTTCTTGGCACATGAGAAAATCCTTTCTACCGTGCATGTATAGCAAATCTGACACTTACTGGAAATGCCTGCTGCACATGGTGTGCACACTTGCAGTAAATCTGATATGTCTGGGGCTCTTTCTTGTGCATGTGCCCTCCTGTGAATTTTCACGAGCACAACAAATTGGATGTGTCCCAAACACTTTTGGATTTACTGTGCACATTCAGACCATCTGTGCAACACATGTACCACAGGTCTAGTGATGCTTTAAGGGTTTTGACACCGTGCGTACACTACACAGCTCCTGATGATGCATTTCAGTAGAGGAGGAGTTCAGTACGGGATCATGGAACACTCAGAAATCATGCTTTTTACTAGGAACCTCTAGGAAGAATTCTGCCACTGGAAGAAGCTGATTTTTGGTTCTTTAGTCTCCTGACTTGTCACAGATAATTGTCCAGTAAGACTTGTCCTACCTTCAAGTGTGCTTTCCTATTGCAAAGGTTTTGAAAGGATCTGTGAATGCAATGTTTTTTTGTTTTTTGAGGGGTGTGTGTCTTGACTGGAACCTATTTTCTTCACCAAAGTAAATTCAAGACAGAAGAGGAGAGAAAAAGATGGTGAACAACTTGGATTTGAGAGGAAAATATGACCCAGGGTATGCATTATCGATTTCCAGCTCAGATGGAAATGTTAAGCTTTGCTGATTGCCTTCAAATCACCTCTCAGAATCAGGCCCACAATGAGAAAGTTACAGCTACTTCCATGCCATTCTTACCTTTCCAGGTAAATACAGAAAGCTGTAGCTGCCAGAGCAGTGATGAATCATGACTTTCTTCCATCCAGAGAGCCTTGGGCTTTTTCCACCTCCAAACATTTAACTTACTTGCAGGGCTGACAGAAAAGCTGTAGATATTTTTTTTTCCAAATATCCATTTGCCTTTCCATTTATCTACTTTTATCTAAAGTATAGAACCTGATGGATGCCCTAGGTAAATCACACATTTTCTGTCTGCCAAAACGGTTTTGCAAATGCTTATTTCATGCCATTACCATTTTTCTGTTTCTAGCAGTAAATTAAAAAGTATCAGCCATTCATCCACTTTAAAAGTAATGCCTTTCCTTTGCATAATTACACATACCCAGTGGAGATCTGTATGCACAGTAAATCTGTTCCTTTAAAAGGTTTCGCCTTAAGTACCACAGTGACATAAATTGGTGTAGTGCAAATTTATTTATTTAAAAGGTTTATTCTTTTAGCTGATAGGGTAACTGATCTACTTCCATTGTTTCATTTGGGCGGGGAGGGCTTTTATTAATGTATCAGATTTAATTCTGCAGCAGATGTTTATGTGGAAGGGTCTCACTCCTTACAGGACTTGAGGCAATTGATATGTGTGTGTAATTTATTCTCATTACAGGTTTATTCTTAACTGCTGTTCAGGGGGTATTCACTGTATCTCCAGTAGATCCTTGAGAATTGAATAGTTTAACGAATGTAATGAGTAAACCTGAAAGACGTACACATAGAGAAGTATACGTATTTGGACGTTACCGCTCCAAATTTGCAGATAACATAAGTATGGTATTAAAAGTGAGTGAGAAATTACCAGAAACAAATGTCTTCCACTAATAAGTGCCCCAGACAGTATTTTGGCAAAGGAAAGATTAAAAAATTGGATCTCTTAATCATTCTCATGTAAACTTGCTCATCTTTATAAGTTGTGCTTGTAGCTCTCAGGGGTGTCAAACCTAAGGCAGAGAAGCCCAGCTGGTGGAAGCCTGGGAGTGAAATGATGAATTTTTTAGCAGCTCTATGTTTATTTTTAGGCTTTATAGAATTATATTTCACTTCCCTTTGAGTGAAATTGTAGGAAGTATCTTAAAAAAAAAAAATTACATTAAGAAACTTTACCAGAATGACAAAAAGTAGCAAAACACCAGAACCTAACTACAGTTGAACATATAAACATGTCTGGATTGCAGCTGATATTGTGGCTACAGTATAATCCTGCAAATATTTACATACATGTTCAGTTTTATGCATATGAGAATTCTTCAGATATTCACAGTCTGAGGATACATCAGACTGCAGGTTAGGTCATGACATGAGTGATGCCATGGAGAAGTGATCTAAATTTCTAGTGTGAATGTATATTTTGTAGATATATTTTCCATGGTACTGGATATGAAAGTAAAATTCAAGGTGGCTGTATTTTTTTTAGGTTATGCAATAAAAACATACAGAAACATTTTGGGGAGAGGATGGTTTATAAGCACATTTTGGGTCTTGAATCTAATTTGGTTAATAAAGGTAGTTTCATTACACAATCAAAATATTCAACCCTATAATTTCACACTATCCATTTTAAAATGTTTTTTCCTGGCATTACAGAGCTGTTGATGCTCTTTCCTGCAGTTGGAAAGGAATAACAGTCTTAGTATCCAAAGCAATCCTGGGAAAATGACATGGGCCTGGGATGAGGAGGTGCATATAATAATTATAGATGTAACAAGGGCTGTATATTGGAGAGAGAAAGTTTATTACATGAAACTCCACATTCCATGTCCATTAAGGTCACTCTTTTGAGATTTCTGGATTTTTGGGGTCTTTTTTTCTAATACATGAAGTAGATCAGAGGTTGCTAACTGTCCTTTTTGATCAGAATAGATTGTGGTGGTTGCAATCATACAGCTTCATAGCAGTACTGGGGAACAGTAACAAATGCTGGGAGGGGGGCTTGGAGAAGCAGGGGGCATAGCCCATTCAGACATTAGGGAGCAGGTTTGGTACTGGTGTTTTGACTTTAGTTGATTTACATACCCTGAAAGTGTGACTGATTCTTGTTTGAGGTCAGTTCTAACTATTGTATTTCACACTAATACTGATCCGTGACAGCAAAGAGTAGGCTTTCTTTTGTATGTAGGTACACAGATACACAGTCTAATGCAACTGTTTCAGCCAACCTGGTTTGTTTTCAGAGAGATGTATATGCCCTGAGTAGGAAGAAAAAGCACTCCTAGATGGTTTGTAATGGTGCTTGATAATTTTAAGGGCAGGACTGTGTGATGCAGTTGCCTTTGATACAGACTGGATTAGTAAGTGACAAAGATGCATCTTTGAATCCCATGTCCTAGAATGTGCTCATGGGAGCTGCTAACTGGGAGTGCTGGAGACTGCAGCCTTCCCCACTGAAACAGCCTCCCCGCTGTTCTGCAGTTGGGAACCAGAGTCACCTTAAAGGGTGAGAGAGTACCTCATCTTCCAGACTGGCTCAATCTTTGTCTTCCCATGCTGTTTGCATCGATGCTAATCAATGTTAATTATGGTAGTGGGGCTTGTGATGTACTCATTATAAGAGCCATCCTATTTTTCTGTGCTTGTACAGCCTGTAACACAATAGAGCCCTGATTGGGGTTCCCTAGATGCTACATATAGTAATACAAATTGTTATAATAATGAATACATGGTTCATGGTGTAAGACTACCAAACTCAGTTCATACAGCCTGCTGAAGCATCACTTGATAATTCTGTTTGCTGTTACCACTAACTGTGGCATACAGGATATGTCCTGACAGTTGGGACCTCAGCCAGTAAACCATTTAAGCTTTTGTTAGTATTTAAATAGGTGCATGGTTTTAAATTTACATTTGAGTCTGTGGTTGTTAGTGTAAATATATGCTTGAGTGTGTGCTTAAAAACCTCTTCTGATTCAGCATCCTTATTGTGCTGGGTTTGTTATCCCACCCCTACTCCATGACTATATGGGAGTTGATGGGATGGTGTGCCAGAATAGATGTTTTTTTCCTAGGCTGAAGGTTATAGGTGCAAGAGCAGGAAGATGCTCCCTCCAAAGAGCTGAGCAGCTAGTTGGGTGTAGGTTGTAGCAAGGGTTCCCACCTCCTCAGGCTGCGGTCCCCTTCCCAGTGTCACTCAGTGCTGGGCACTCTTGTACTAAGAACTGATACCTGACAGGTGCAGTTGCCTGTGATTAATTTGGTTCAGCTCTACTGTTGTCCTCACTGGGAATTTCAGCACCATTGTTTTTATGCATTAATTGGTATAAATAATTACTATTCAGTCCCTGACTCTGCATCTCCAGGCCTTACCCTTGTGAGTTCTAGTGACTTAAATAGTCTCATAATTTTTTTTCAAATAAATTTTTCCACAAAGAGTCCCTTATTGCTTGTTACCTGGTTTGTTATGGATATTGGTTCTAGTCCCATTTTTTCAATTCCCACTAGACTGCATTCCTGGATTTTAGTTATCTATGTGCAGTTTAGGTGTGTGATTATCTGCCTGACTCTGGTTAGTTCTCCATTGTGTACCACATTGTGCTTACCAAGCCTGTGTAACAAAAATGTTCTAAATTGTTAAGGTGTTATATTACCTCTCTTGAGTGTACATGTTGTTTTAAAAGGAATTTGAGTCAGTGTTGCTTCTATGTTTGTAATTAATCTAAAACATTTAGTGTAGCAGCTGGATTTTTCCTTGTTAACTGTGCTTTACTGAGATTTCATGATCTACAGCACACCCTAGTGATACCTGGAAATTACAAAGTTAGACCCAGTCAATTTTACTTCCTTTGTGGTGAAGGCAAACTTAGGATTCCAGTAAGCAAAGTCTATGAAAGTAAATGCTTTTGTATTCAAGATGTGAAGCGGGTTGAATCCCTTGGTTTATGAAACAAAAAAGAGCCTTAGAAATTGAGACTACAGGATATTCTTCTGTGAAAAGAACATCTGTATCATGAGTTTATCTGTTCTGCAGTCTGTATTGTTGGATGTATTTTACAACAGACCATGGGGAAAAGCAACCCAGGGTTGTGTGAGAAGGGAGGAGAATATTTGTTGGGTTCCTTTTTAGACTGGAGAGAGCAACCAGATGTAAATAAAGCATTGTGGAGGAAACCTGCAGGTAGTCTTCACAGGTCAGAAGCCCAAATGATCATTTACTGTCTTATGGCCAGAACATTAAAATTTAGGCTAGATATTTAATTCCTGCTTTTACAGATGGTTAGGTCACTTAGTTTTTCAGGTGATGGTACCTATCTGAAAACTACCCAGTTTTCAGTGGCCAACAGGTCTATATGATTGTGCAGAGGTATGTGCACCTACTTAACTTTTTAGGCTACCTTGCAATCATCTTTTTCTGGATTAGGATCTCTATTTTGATAATCTGGTTTATTTTTAATTCTCTGAATGCACAGAATGGCAATGATTATGAATTGGATACCCTTGACCCCCCTGGTAGGGTGAGAAAACAGGTTTGAGAAGGACTCTGAGAAGGAAGTTTAATTATATTATCAAGGAGGCAGGCAGATATTTATCAGAGATTAAATCAAAATGGTGATGTGTGGGTAACACTGAATGGAACTGAAAACAATATGAGCATCAGAGAAGAAGAGTGTAGGCCTTGTACGTTACAGTGGTTGAAGTTAAATCTCATGAATTCTCAAAGAGAAACAGAATTCATCAGAGAGATGAGAGTTAACAATATCCTAACCTCCCAGCATGTGAAAGCTGTAGCGAGTATCCACTGCAGATGCTGTCAGGCTCTCGAGCAGCTTGTGCAAGTTCAGTATGCCTGTAGAGTTGCTGTTGTCATTGTTCACTGCAGGTGCTTAAGCCCCAAACAACTAAGCTATCCCAGAAAAAGCAGGTTTGGCCAGTGAACATTGCATGCCAGCCGACAAGCAGTGCTGAGGCTGTTCATTTCATGAAGGGCCATGAAGCCCGGACAAGTGCATACACCAGTACCCTTGACCAGCTTGCAGCTCCAGCTTGGCTCAGCTGTAAGATCCAGTCCTGTATCTCTGTTACATCTACAGAGTGTTAATTGACTATGTGAGGCAGAGCTAAAGGTGGTGCCCTCCTTTCTGGCTCGCTCATGCATGACAAATCTCTAATATTCTTTGGAGAGACAAGTTTCCTCTCAGACCTCTGCATTTCACTCTTGTCAGGTAATCCAAACAATAATGGAAATGAGCATTCTGGTTTATGTAAATAAAAACAAAAAGTTTGCAATAATTTATGGTATTTATTTAAATGACATGCAAATTACTTTGTGAAACTTAGGGGGGAAAGCAGCACAACTGAAACAGCACAATTGTTTCCAAGAACATTCATTTCAAATCCACATACAATATTTCATTCATGCTTAATTATTTCCCCAATGCTAGTCTAAGCATTACTAGTTTCCTTTGTCTTTTTGCTTTTGCATGCAGTGTGATTAGCAAAACTGCTTGTGCTCTACCAACTTCTGCACGTACGGGGTTTAGCCTCATTGTTCAAGGGGTGGAGCAACAAGCAATATGAACACTCATGCTGCCAAATTTGGCACACGTGAGCCCTCCAAAGTATACAGATATCACCCATTTCATTTAAATCCCTGTCCGTTTTTTTGCATTGCTACCATAATGGCAACTCCATTGTCTGGGTGTATTATTTGAAGCAGCTTTTCTCCCATTGTTTGTGCACTGTAATCCTTGCGGTTTCTGTAGTCATCGTGAGCAGCTTACTTGAAAGAAATCACTTAGCTCTCACAGATCACTCTCTCTGAACCTGCTGGCAAAGGAACGGGCCATGACTAAAGCATGAGACCTGTGATCTTTCTGAAGAAAATCTCTTCAGTAGAGTTTATAATTTGTTGCTTTCATGGGGCTCTGTTCTCAGGGTTTGGACTCAGTGTTATCTTTCGTCCCCCATGGATTTTTCTACAAGGCATGATGGGAATGTAGGCTGAAAAAAAGACTAATAATGCTGGCTGTGGATGTGTACCCTAACAACATTTTACACACATTTCAAATACTGGCAAAGGGAGACATCTACTGTTTGACAGAAATTAAGGACAGTTGTTTATTCTAATCGCAGCAAAATCTTAGCCTTTTATTCTTCCATGACATAGAGATTGACACACCCTGCTGTGAGTCTTTTCAACAGACTTTTGAGAACTTAATGCTTGTCTACTTAGGGCAGAATGAAAGATCCCCTGGAACTTATCATAGAGAAGGAGCTGCCCAGATCTTTCCCTTTCTAGTCTGCTTGGCCAGTGCCCTCTACTCCAGTGTCTCTCATGGTTGTGTATATACACACTGTTGTAGTTAAAGCCATTTGGTATCAGCTGTTCTTTATCAATTATGCCCATTATGGGTTTGCATGCACATCATTTTATTTCTGGGACAGTCATTTGTGATGTTTTTAAGGCAGTGGTTCCCAAATTGAGGTCTGCAGAAAACCAGCAAAGGGCCTCTTTGTAGTTTGCAAAGACTCTCCAGTTCTTTTTGTTTCTTAAGTCTAGATCACATTATGGTACAACTATAAATATGGTATAAACACTGCCCTGCTCTTCACTTAGTTTAGCAATAGCTATTTATACAACTCTCTTATAGCCATACCGGCATCAAGTGTGATCCCAAATGGTGACACCCTTGTGATTCCACGTGAAGCAGAGAGGTGGCCCAGGAGACAGTATTAAAATATAACACGCTGAACTGTGTAAGTCTGAAAATCCCACCATAATAGATTTTGCAGTGACTTCTAGAAGCTTGGAATCTGGTCCATCATTGTAGAGAGTGATTCAAATTCACCTTTCCATCTTCTTGCCTCCAACCTATCATATGAGAAGAGACCATTGGGCAATACACTGTGTGCAAGCTGGCTTCTTCATTTCCACGCTGCTACCTAGCTGACTGAGAATTCCCCTCTTGCCTGCCACGTTATCAGAACTGAGACCCAGGAAGGCTGGAGAGAGCTGTTCTGTGTTCCCAGAAGAACAGGAAACTTAGTCTTAATGGCTTTGTATCTTTGGGCTCTCATTCAGCACCTGTGAAGTCAGCCAAGGAGCCTTGACTCTGATGGGACTTAAGTCAGCTGCTTTGTGCTTACTCTTTGTGTCTCTGAAGTACTATATGTTTGGGGCCAGAATTATATGTAGCTGAACATCTACTATTCTCAGACTCCACAAGCACAGGTTACGGTGCAGATTTCTCACATCACTGAATAGTATCAAGCATGGAAATCTATCCCCAATGTTATTCCAGACACCTTTAAATGTCATCCTTCCATCCTTGATAGTAGAATGCTTTTGTTCTTTAACTGAATTCACAATACACAATTTAGATCTGATTTTGAACTTTGTCTACTTTATGTATGCCCTTTCATTAGAGGTTTGAAGAAAGCTCAGATGCACTTTTCTTGGATACATTCTGCAAAAGAGTGTTGAATAGAGGAAGTGGTTGTAGGAGACCACTTTTTTAGCTCCTGACTGGAAACCTTGCAGGTATTTTGTGTAGCTATTTTTTAACCAGGGTTTTATTTCCACTTCAGTGTTCATACATACATGTAAACATGTAAACTAATTTCAGGACACTGACTTTTACATTCAGATTTGCTATAGCTTTTTCTGAAAAGGTCACAAAATGGCTACTCTGTACTGGTAAACACAATTCTGAATGAGGCTTCTGAGGAAGTAAAAAGCCAGCACAAATGACTACTGTAATAAGAGTCTGAAAGAGCAGAAGATTGGTACACCATTAAGGGTATGCCTTAAGGATCTTTATGGATTGTTATGCAGTTAAGGATATGCCTTAAGTATCTTTAACAGCTCACTTGGATAGTGCTAGCTAGCAATAGATGCCTTCTTCCAAAGCACCAGCCTTTATTTTTGCATTATCTTTCAAGACTGAGCTGATATATGCAATTAATAGTGTTTTGTGACCTTCTGCACCAGCAGTCTATCTTTTTGGCATTGAAACTGATTTTGTCCAACTTGCCATTTTATCACCTGAGATTGTGCAGGGAGACCAGAGAAGCACTTTTTACAGCAGCAGTGAAATGATTTAGTACAGTGATACTGTTCTTTAAATTCAAACTGTTTCCTACAAGCTGATGAGGCAAACCTCCTCTTTGCTTAATGTCACATAAGGTACATTGAAAGGCTGTGAAGAGACAGATGTTCTATATCTTCACTTCATATGCAAAAACCTGTTATATCCTTTATTTGCATTCAATTAGAAGTCAGACCCTGATGAATATCTAATGTAGGAAATGGGGAAAAGATCTGCCATCAAGCATATGTTTTGCTTGTAGTGGATCTCTGTAACCTAGTATTGTGTCTTCCTGTAGCGATTCGGTCATGTTTACTATTTTATTTACACCTGCATGCACAGAGGTGAAGAGTGTTAATAGATGAAAATTGGAGCTGAGTTCCTGCTTTTAGAAATGTTGCCTTTTTTTCAGTGTAGAGAGTTCTGGAGAAAGCACCATTCCTTTTGAACAGTCAAGCAGTTGCAAAATTTCCATTACTAAGTGGCTCTGTTTAAGGATTGAAATGCTATAGCATTACTTTTATATTAATTTTCTTCTTCAATGTGCCTTGTTTGATCTTGTGAAGCTTACCGTTTTCTTGGTAATCCGGAGTATCAGGAACCCAGAAGTTATAACACTGTATTGTTGTCAGGAAGGGAAGGTTCAAATTATAAATGTAATACAAAGCAGAGGTGGCAGACTCTTTCAGAACAGATGCTGTATTCCCCGTGACCCTGTAAAAGCATGCATACTGGGGTTATATAGTATCTAGGGAGAGATGTATGTTGTCTGGAGCCCTAGATGTTAAACTGGGATAAGCAGAGCAGTTTTTCCTCACTGCAGCATAGGATTTCCCAGACTTCTGGGGGAACTGATAGAAATCTCTTACCTTCCTAAACTTGGATGTGATTAGAAACCTGCTTTGTTACATCTTCCATCCCCTTTCTTCTCTGTGGACCACTCCCATCATGCACGCATTCTGGGGAACACATGACATTTCTTCCTTTTTCCTCTTTCCTTCTTGCTTTGATGTAACATTGTAAATTAAACCACCCTTACCCATATCCAAGTTAACACACTGACACAAAAGGGAAATCTTGAGTATTTTTAGGTGCTTTGCAAACTTGACGCAGTGCAAGTAATATAGATCCCTTTGCCTAAGTTTTGTATGTTTCTTTCCTGCCATTGTGATAGTAAGAAATGTAAAGATTTTGAGAAAAAAAAAAAAAAAGCAAGTAGATGAAATGATGAAACTAAGTTTGTTACTTTCAGTTGCTTAATCTTCATGTTTTCTTCGGGAATCTCTGGCATAGAAGAGAATTCAGAGAAACAGCTTTTTTTTTTGTCCAACAAGATTAAGTGCCTCACCTTAAAAAAATCTGTCATGGTTTCCTGTGAAGGTAACAGGTATTTCAGATGATTGCATCACGTATTTCTGGACAGTTCTTACAGACTGAGCCTGCTCCTGATGGGCATTTTCTTGAGACCCTGTAAGGAGCAAGCTGAAAGCCAGAATGAATCATTCTGTTGTTAGTAACAGTCCACCTCCAGCTGAAATCATTCCTGGTGCCCCTCAATGTATCTCCTAGGATGTCAAAAGCTATGAAAATATGCAGTGAACCCAGGATGCTGAGGACATGCTGAACTGCCTTGTGGTTGTTTTGGGTTCTTGCTGTATGTTAGTTAAGGAAGGATTTGGCAAAAATCCGCTAAGTGGCTCATCAAACCAGAGTGGCAATGCACCATTGCTGCGGTTGATTTCTGAAGCTTGCTTTTGACAGATGATTTGAGGATTTTGGGGGGTGAAAGGGATTTTTTTTCTCTTGATTTTTAAAAGCATAGAGTCCCTAGTAGCCTGGAGAGGAAAAAGATGTAAAACATCCTGATAAAGTGGACAAAGAGAACTGTGATCTATGAATAGTAATAACAAATTCTGAGAGCCCAGCATACTGCAGTGAATATAGTGAGATTCCTGGCAGGAACTGATTTGCAGCAGGAGCAGAACCACCTTGAACTGCTCTCACTCCACTCTTAGAATTTAAAAAGCTCGTGAACCTTTATCTCTGGTACTAATTATCTGTTAAGAGTGGATGTTGGAATGTGCACAAATACAAGAATTAGGGACAGATCCAGCCAGAATACACACTCCTGTACCAGAGAATACAGCCAGCAGAGGTGTCCCTGCTTGTGTTTAGGATGTCTGTTCCCCGAACAGCACGAGCGGAGCCGAACTCCGGTGATGGCGAGGTGTGGGGAGCCACCAGATGGAGCCCGCCGGGTAGCAAACGTGGTCGGGACTTGCTGCTTCAGTAAGACTAAAAATAGGACTTCTGTGCTGTTGTTTAGCCCAAACTCACAGAATGTTTGGTGGAACATGTGGTGTGCTGATTCACGTGTATTGGCTAACGCTCACCGAGGAGAATACCAGGCATGCAGTTGGATGCTGGCTGGTCCTTATGTACGGAATCAAATCTTAATCCCGCAGACTGCAATAACCAGACTCTCCTTGACTTCAACAGTCAGAATTCCTCTGAGAATGTAGTATGATTTACAGCAGCATGTACATCTTTAAAGGATACGCTCTGCACTGTTGCCTGCTATTTTTGTTTTAGTAACTTCTACCATGGAAAAAAATAGACATCATAAACACCTGCTTATGTGGTCTTAGTAACATGTGTTTATTTTTAACTGGAGTAGTGAGGTATAGAGTGATACCAAAAAAAAAAAAAACAAACAAAAAACAACCTCCTTCGATGGTTGGCAGACTTAATTGCTTTTAATTGTCCTCATCAGAAAGCTGCTTACAGCTGGAATTTGGGGCCTTACTTAAAAAAATGTACATGGCATTTTGGTTCTTTGCTCATTTTAGGAATTGCATTTGCTTTTTACATCCAAATCATAAAAAATCAAGAGCACCAGCAGACCTGCAACATTTTGAGTTGTTACACAGAGAGTTATTTTATGTGACTGTATAAAGCATGGGGAGGTTAAGAAGTCCCCAGCGCAGTCACAGGAAATGGACAAAAATGGCAAGTTATATTCCTCCTTCTTTTCCTCATCCTGCTTTTTCATCTTCTCAACAAGTAACTGAGGGGAGATGGTTTACCTTAAATCCGAAATGGAATCAGAAATGAAATCATAATAGAGGTTTAGTTGACAACAACAAAAACCTCTGTTAATAATCCGTTCTTGGGAAATGGCAGCATTTTTAACATGAGGCAGTAACTTTCCAAAGATTGTACCGGTGTTAAGAAGCAGTGTGATATTTCAAGCGCCATATGTGACACAGCTGTTTAACGCTGCTTCGGTGCGTATCGCGTTTGATTACATATGGTGCTCTATCAGACTGGCAGGCTGCGCTTTACCGGGCTGATGACTGAAATAAACCTGGATGAAAAGTACGCAAAAATACTCTCCGCCGATGCTCTCAGATTACAGGCAGGGACGTCCTGGCAGCATTCTGTGCGCCGCAGGCCCTTTCTTCCTCCCGGGGAAGGGCTCAGCTGGGGCCGGGCCGTGCTCTTCCAGAACAGACCCTGCAAGCCCAGGGCCGTTCTGCCGGCTCCTTCATAAAGGCCGTGTCCGCGCGGCGGAGCCCGGGTGCCTCCGCGATGGGCACCGGCCGCCAGGAGAGCGGTTCCACCGCGCCTGACCTCCGGCCT